TTTTATGTCACTTGCATTTCTTAACTATTAAAATTAAAAAATTTATATTAATGTTTTGAAATTCCTAAAGCCTCTTAGATCAAAAGTTTTTTTTTTTTTTGGCTAAAAAACACACTAATTTTATGTCACTTGTACATAGTACTCTTAAGAAACACACTAACTAATAAATTAAATAGTTACTACATAGAGTTGAAAATGAAAATTACAGAAAAATATAATTATTGATTTTTAAAAACTACATATATAAAATCAATAAATGATAAAATTTTTTTTTTTTAAATTTTGTTTATAATCTATTTGATAGACCTGTAATCAATCACAGACTTTAACTTTTTAATAATATATGGCCATTGACGTATAATATGTCTTAGAAATAACAAACATGCATAAAATTTCAAACATAATCTTAGCACCGAGGCCAACAATTATTTGTAATTATCTTTGAATTTGAAGGATGTATCCATGGTTATCTTCATATATGGGTTTGATCTATTGTTGTTCTATTGTTAATAGAGGCTAGACGAATATGGAGATTAAGCTTGAATGAAAAGGCCAAAAAAAAAAAAAAAAGGTTTTAAACACTAAATGAAATCTTAATAATTATCATTTGAGAGAGAGAGAGATATAAAGAATATTTATTCTTGTAGACATTAATATTTTACGTGAAAGCAGTAAAATATAAGTTTTTTTTTTTTTTGTGTGAGGAATTATTAGTAATTCCTAATGAAAGAAAGATTAATAGTTAGGTAAAATATATAGTATATTTTTATTATGAAAAGTAATTCCTTAAAGTATGTGTATATTGTTAGATATAAAATTTTAAAATTTAAATTCCTAAATCATAGGTGAATTCAATACCCAATGATATTTAAATTTTAAACTTTAAATTTCAATTTTTAATAGCCAAAGATATTTTTCTCTTTTTAAAATATAACAAAAAATCAACATAATTGGATTGGAGTTTTGAAACTCTTAGAGCTCTCAAATTTAAAAACTCACTTTCCCTTATATAATATATAGATTACCGTTGCGATATACTATTTGTAAAGTTTTAATTTTAATCAAAACAATAATGTGGCCTACTGTTCGTGACACTAAGGTTTGGTTTGTTTAGGTTAAAAATATAATATTTTTTGATATTAGATATGAAAAAAAAAAGAAAAAAAAAGAGTCTATTTAGATGGAATATATTTTTAATTTTTAGAAAACAAAACATATTTTGCAAACTAAAGTTTACTAGTGCCACTACATTACCACCATTACCATTGCCTCCACCACAACACTACCACAACTACGACCACCATCACTCTCACCGCCACTGCCAATCCACTATCCCCACTGTCGCCACCACCGCTACCTTCATTACCACCATCACTAATGCAACCATCAGTATATTAATTTTAAGAATGCAACTATACATAAAAAATATTTATTATGAAAAATAATTTTAATTTTTTTATATTTTTGTTATTAAAAGATATTTTTGCCTAAATTAGCGGAATGTAACCAGTGTTACAGCTTCACAGTAATAATGATGGCGAATACTTTTCAAATGATTAGAGCATATTCACTTTTAACAAATATTTCTCTAAAATTAGACCTTTAATTGAGTTCTAATGAAATAAAAAAAAATTAAAAAAAAAATATAAAACCAAAACATCATATTAAATGAGCTCTACATATATATTAGAACTATTAAAATTCACAAATTAAAACTCTAAAACATTTTTATTCACCTTTTAAGAAAATCAACTTTTTTTTTGTAATCAAATTCCAAAATGAGACTTGACCACTCCAGCAAGACTTTTCTTCCACCCTGAAAACGAAAGTCGCCAGCTGGAGTAATTATCCTACTTTTCTAGAATTTTACTTTTATTGCGTGTCTAATTAATAATAAAAAATTAAATATTGAGATTAAGGTTGTGCATAAATTGATTTGATCCGGAATATTGGTTTTTAGTTTTTAAATTCAGAATTGAATCAGTCATGTACTGGAACTTGGAACCAAATCAAACTAATTTAATGTAGCTCGAGTTAAAACCATGATATACTATTGTTGGCTTTTTGGCTTTTCGAAGGGTATTTTTGTGAATGTGAGCGTGCCAGTAAGGATCAATCAGTCCTTACAGAAATTGTGATTGCCAACCAATTATCAGACGATTGTGTTTTAGTTCTTTTCAGCCTCAATGAAGAGGACTTTTACTGGTGGCTTAACTTAGGAGAAATTAAGAAAGAAAACAGTAATATGAAGAACAATTGAAGTATTTCATAAAAATGAACACTTACAATGGTCCGAACTCAGCCTCGGAGAGGTTTACAACAGCAATCTACTTGAATCTACTTGAAGCTACTCCTACGAATCGAAGTGCAGTGCGGGTATTTAAAGTGCAGGTATTTAAAGAACAGGTATTTAAGGACTGGAAATGTAAATGACTGGAAAGAAAATATATGAAGTAAATGACTGGTTTGTATGATCTCCGTCCTCTTTTCTTTCTGGGGGCTGCCCCGCTATTTATACTCGTCAGTGATGACCTTCGAACTGCACTTCGATGGCCCGAACTGCTCCTCCATGATCGCTGATCATGCTTACTCATAGTTAGCTCTACTACGCCATGTCTGCAGTTAGGCTCCCCTCCTAATTTTGAATTTGAACCTTGTGACTATCGTTAGGCCACATCACCTTATATCCCTTGATCATTCCAATGTTATGCAGACCTATTATTGCCAGTATGGGTTGACACGTGTCTTACTATGGTTAGTGATTTATATTGCCTTCCCAAATTGCCCTTTTCATGCCACATATTGAATCGTGATTGACTTTTACAATTTATACAACAAACAATTTCTCACAATTTTTTTTTTAAAATTTAATGTGACATCTAATATATTAATAAATTAAATCTTATTTCACATTTTTAAATTTTATCATTACATGTCACATCTATTTATAATAAACATTACAAATATTCCTTCAAATCAATCTTCCATCACCGCATTCATTAGCCACCTTTACCTGCCCTTCTCTATTCAGGTAATGGAGGCTTTTGCAGATTATAAACCTTTGGACTACGAACACATTGCTTTTAATCCCTTGGTTTACAAACTTACAGATACAAAGAGTTCTTCCCCTAAGCTCCCTTTGTATTCTGACCGAACTACCCTCGAGCCTTTGCTTCGACAAGTTGCAAATATGGATCTAGGAAACTTTTCTTCACAGACCTCTGCATGGGATGAAACTGTGATCTCTTTATCCTCTGGGGCTTCTGGCTGGACAAGCTGGTCAACTCCTGAGACTTATGATTTAAGGGAGCGAATCAATCACCATTTTGTTGAGTTTACTGACCCCTTGGAGTTTCCCTCCTACGCTCGAAGCTCAGTAGTCTACCCTTATGTGCCCATTGACCTTCGACGTAGCTTGGAAGAGACTCTGCTTGTGGCTTGGTATACTTCTTCCATGCCTACAAAGATAATGCATCCTGCCCGGCGTCCAGAAGAAGCACAAGGGTACACCCCTTCATTCTTAGCCAAGAAGGCGAAGATTTGTTCTTCTGATTGGCTTGATTACATTAATGCCTTTGTTCCTTCTGCTCCCGTGACATCTCCCATAATAGAGGCATCCACACCCTCTTCTGCATCTTCTGAGATAGAAACATCTACTCCCTCCCCTTTATTTTCTGAAGCAGAGCCATCTACTCTCTTCCCATCTTCCGAAGCAGGATCATCTTCTCCTTCTCCTTCTCCCATTCTTTCCTGGACAGAAAAACTAAGACTTGCCCTTCCAATGGACAAAGTTTTTCCACCTTACCAACCTCCGTCACCCCCTTCTCCAGCCGAGCGAAAGCAAGCTCAACTTTTGCTCGCGGCTTTCTCCCACCTGCCCTTCAATGTTCTTGAGGATGACATTCCTCTTAAGAACTTTCAATGGGCTTGTGATGTCTTGACTAGAGGTCATGTCCTCAACCCTATTGCCCAGGTAGAGCTTCATTTGTTTTTGGACCAACTCCCAGTGCTCCTCTACTGGCATCAGAATTCTAAGATCACCATCCAAAATCTGGATCAACTTTTATCTCTCCGAATTCATGCCCAGTATGAAGCAGAGAATTTTATCGAAGAGTTCGATGACTTCAGGAATAAAGATTCCGCGTACTGGGATGATTTGGTTATAGATGAATTGGAACAAAAATCGAGAGAAGAGGCTTTCGAAGCAAAGGCTGAAGAACTCTATTATGAAGTGAGAGCTCATCAGCTTATGCAATCAACTTTAGAAGAAATAGAAGAAATAATAAAGAAAGAACGGAAATTTATTGACCATTGTTGGACAAAATTTCATGACCTTGTTATTTATTCTATTCCTTATTTTTATGAGCTTGAATTTGTACCCAGATAGGGTTACTTAATGTAATCATCTTGGCTTTAATATAAACAAAGTCTTTCTGTATTTAACACTGTTTGACTTTGTTTCCTTTTATCTTCAACAGCTAACTCGTAACTTCGAATTTGAACAATCTCATCATTCGAATCAATTGTTTAATGAAGTACTAAAAGAACCAATCGTGTCTTTTTCCAATTCATGGAGTAAAATTGACAATTCTGGCAGATATTATTTTAGTACTTCGATTTCAATGACTTTATTCTAACTGCAACCAATATATGGCCATGGTTGATAAAGCCAATCAATTTTAAACTGATCTCTTTTGGCTTCGAAGGGCAACCTATGGCAATTCCTTCTTGCTCATATAGAAACCAATGATTGGTCTTGGATGTTTCGAACAGTACCCCTCTTCCTCAAAGAGACCTAGGGTTTGCTTCGAATGTTGTCATTTTGACTGATAACCTTCAAATAGGTATTTAGATTTTTTGAAGTAGACCAATACTTTGAGCATTCAAGCAATTTTAAGCATGTAATATGCTTCGAACAGCGTTTCTCATACTCAGAGAACACTAGGTTTTGCTCCGAAGGTCGTTACTTTAATTTATAACCCCTAAACAGACCCATAATCAAGCAATTTAGCACCTTTACGCATATAATAGGCTTCGAAGCCGGCTTATGTATTTCGAAGCCGTTGTTATTTAATTTTTTTGGCGCCAACATCTTGTCTTCGAAGCCAAATATTTCATTTCGAAGCTGGCCCCAATCCCGGAATAAGCTCTTCCCTCCAAAACTATCAATATTGGAAGAGATTCCTCGCATTCGTACTTTTGGTACTTAACGACTCGCGGGGTATAATTTCGGACACAAAAACCCTCTCGTTTCGTGTTCCGAAATCTCTTGCCTTTTACAAACCCTTCTCTCTACTGGTTCCTCTTTGCTTCGGTCTTCATCTTCTAAAGAGTGTATCATCAATGGCTTCTTCTTCACAAAAAGTGCCAGCCCCAGAGCGTGTGGGCTCATCTTTAGCTTTGAAGAGGCTTATTGACGCAGAATGTGAGAAGTACAAGGCTGGAGAGAAAAGCGCTATCGATGGGCGTATCTTCGTCCCTCGTCATCATGAGCAGCAGAACTACGTGCTCGGACCAATTTTCAAGGAAGTCCTTACTGAGCTCCCAACCTTTTATCCGCGTCTGGTGGACCAACGTCTCCTTTATGAAGGTGGCCTTGACTGGAAGAACTGGAAAAGCAATCGTCCTCATCGATGCTGGCCCACGATAAGACCGGAATGGCAAGAATGGTATGATCGGATCATTCCTGCTAAGACACTGGACCTCCAAGAGCTCTGCCTCCTCGATGCTCTTCGACTATCTAGGGTAACTATCTCAGAGGACCCTTTCCTAAGCAGCAAAGTGCTTCGAATGATGTAACAACACCAATAAAGTGCTTCGAATGAGTATGAAATTATGACAAGATGACTCGAATTATTACTA